TGTCTTCAAACGTCCACATTATGTTCCGCACAAAGTCGTTTCTTAAGCCCTGTCAAACGTGTACGCAGACATTAGCCGTAAGCTACCAAACTGTAGCGGTAAGCCATGAAGGAGGGGTGAGAGGTTGTACTACCTGGCTGTTCTCCCCTTCGTCAAAGAGCATCGGGAGGTTTTGCTCTTTGGGTACAGAAGTCACCTGGCCCAGAGCAAACTGGCTGTCCATAGACACACTGCCCTGCACATGGAATAGTCGCAGCGCTGTCAGTATCTAAAAACACTTTCTAAAACATGTCATCCCACTTCTTACTTAACATTTTGATTGGCTACAGCGCACAGGATTGATTCCTAATCAAAGAAGAAATTCACATCATTTCTGAAGTAACATTCCCGCATTAGAGGCTAAATAACAAACAGCTAAGACACCGTACCTGCTTGGGAGCATCTGACTCTTCGGTGTCGGACGCTGCGCTGGTGAAGGCGGTGGGCCATGAAGAACTGTACTCCTCTGCCTCATTCTGCTCCTCCCCGTCATTCGGGTTGTCTGGTACGGGCTCTGCTGCCCCATCACCATTGATACTGCAAACACAGCAGTAGTTATCGGATAAGACTGGGAAGGATGCACCTTAAAATAAAGCGTCGCCTAGCTCCCATAGTAAACCCTACTCGCTTATTTTGTACTCACCTGTAGTAGAGGAACTTTGACAGGATGGCTTTCTGATACCAGTGCTCTTTACTCTTCTTTTTCCTCTGCCACTTCTGATCGATTAGTCGCTGGTAAAACTCTTTCAGCCACGTCCAATCTCCTGTCTACAACACACACACATGACAGGGCCTTAAGCCCCACACTTAAAAGATACTGTCATAAGGAAAAAAGGGTCTGGAGTCCCTGCAGTACCTGAGACGATTGCATGAAGAGCTCTTGAATGTCCAGCTCATCCAGAAGCAACGTCCTCCCCACGCGGTGAACAGCCATACTGACGTGGGACTTGCTGTAGGGAATCTTCAAAAGCTTCTTGATGTTCTGAATGTGACGGAAAACAATGTTAACCCTCAGGTGTATGAGCACGTTTTCAGAAACAAAGAAAGAAATGTGAGCTTTCATAAGAGCTCCACAAACCTCCGAGTCTGACACCACGTCGACATCGTCTCCGATGCAATCGATGAATTCATAAGCCATCCCAAAACTGCAGAAGAGGAGAAAGGAACGTATTCACTTCAGGATCCACAATAAAGCAGAGTATGTGCAGCGAAAGCCTTCATAAATACATGACTGTGCTCACTAAAATGTGTTTAACGTCACAATACATATTAAATTCCCAACATGTAGGTATGACTGTAGACTGGCAAACGCAGCACTCGGTGTGTAACATGAGGTCTTGTACACTCCCGACAATTGTCAACACCATTTTGCAGATCATACATTGGTGATACATGCGTCGTCGGTACTGTGAGAGATTGTTTAGGTGTTTGTATGATTGGTCCCATCAGGAGGGGTGAGGAAAGTGGGCCTACTGGTTAAAGAGACAGTACTGAACTGCTCTGCAGAGACCAGCAGCGTTTCACACTAATAAATATCAGTTGTAGTCACGATGGTATACCTGGAAAAGGGCTTGCTCTTGCTGCTGGACCCTAATACGGTGGTGCCAGCGCTGCCCAGCTGCGGGTTTTCCCTCAGCCAGTTGGCAGGAGGCAGCTTCAGGTCGGTCTTCTCCTGCAGCAGCGCATAGCTGGTGGGAGGTGGGGCGGCACAGTACTTGACCACGGCACGGCTCTTTATCTCACTGTTGCCCGTGCATACGGAGTCCTTCAGGGCGACAGAAGTAAAGTGAGTTACCGTGATTCTGGTGCTTCAGCGTAAACATGTCTAGTCTAACATTAGTTACTCACGTGTTTGCTGTTCTCTCCTGCGCATGGAGGGCCACTGCTGTCTTCCTTGGCGTTATCCTGGAGGACCCCAGGCTCTCTGTCCCCAGCTGATGCGCTCATACTGGACACACGACCGACCCAGCGAGCACTGGCGATTTTCTAACAACCACACCAGCTATCCATGACTTGGATAACTCGTGACAGTCTATGTGTTTGGCAAGGTAACGAGCGAGATACGCGAGTTATCTCGATACAGTGGTCTCTAGTTTGATAGCTTGACAGGCTAGCTCAACGCTGACTCACAAACTGCTGTACAAAATAAGTGTAGTTACACGGTTCTTATATTTAGGAGAGACAACACTCACACGATACACTGTTAACCGTTCTAATGTTCAGCCTTTACTTAAGTAGTTAAGTAATAAGCCTGCAGCTTCTTCTATTTCCATCACCAGCCAGTATGTTGTTGTTAGACCGCACGTTATTACCAGCAGTATCAACTTCCGGTTTCACGGTAAGACAAACTCTAAAACTCATCCTATTTGTTATTTCGACAATCAAAATTACTCCAAATGTTAAGTATAAACTGAACAATTTGAAATAGTAGAACTTTACCTTGTATTAAGGAAAATATTTCAGCTACTGCGACTTTTTGAGATGAATGTATGAACCGGAAGTAGTTTCCGAGCCTTTCTAGAAACGTTGAGCACCTTCTATTCTGTGCTGTTGTATTTTATTCTGAAATGTACTCACATGTCGACTATTAACAGCAAAAAGTAAAGTATTAAAAGTACAACTACAAATGTATATCAAAGCGTGATATCATATTATATTATACTATATTATATTCAGTGGTGGATGAAGTATTGAGGTATTTTATTTATGTAGAAGTAACCAAATGAGAATGTAAAAATAGGACTTGGTTAATAACAAGTCAAAAATGCATTCATAGTTTTACTTAAAGACGAATTACCTTAGCAGCACAAATTCAGATTACTAATGTGTCCATTAGATTTACATAAAATGGAAATTTGTCTTTGGCACGCTCATATAAGACACACGTACCAAGCACAACAATACACAACAATTGTGAAGCAGCTGACTGAACAGGGAGGAGCTGTGAAACTGCTTCAGGCATCATTCCTGTGCTAACGGGTAGGCTGTACGTGTTTTTTTTGTCTTCGACCTAAATCAAGTGGCAGCGGAAGACTCATTAAACCCGCCGCTTCAGGACATTTTTGGGGACCGTGTGACATATTCGTTTTTATTACGATGGCAAGCTGGAAGAATCACGTGCGTGCTCGGCTGCAGCAGAGAGACCAAACTGAGAAACTCCCGTACCTTGGCGTCTTCACAAGCTGTAAGATTCATTATTATTTTCTATTTCAGCATTTGCAATGATGATGTTCTCCCTGTCTTAGTCTGAGGACATGTGCCTGTTTGATTTTAGTGTCTCAGTTGGAGGAACGTTTTGAAATTCGCCAACAATTTTTGGATGATGTTCAGTCCAAGAGGTCAGAAAAGTAGAATTTCACGAAACTAACTTTTGGCCTTTCAGATGATCTGGATGCAAAAAAAACAACCTTAAAATTTAAAATCATTGCACTGTTTGTTTTTTTTCAGTTTAGAAAGAGGTGGCTTTGAAGTTGGGAGAAATATCAGACTGCTTCTACTCCAACTGAGAGAGAGTGAACATCTTGAAGAAAAGGTGGGTGAAATGTGGAGAAATCAGTGATAAACACCATAACATCAGCCTCCAACTGTATGAAAGAGGTTATCAGCTATCATGTCACTATATAAGCAGAAGCAGTTTGCATTAATGGTGATTGGTGTTTTCAACACAGGCAGTGACCCTTGAACTGGTGTGGTCCTCACTTTATCCACCCTTTAATCAATTCATCCTTTTGCTTGTTGCGTCCCCAGCTGTCTCAGACTGTCTCTGACCTGACCACTGTCCTATACCTGAAAGAAGCTGAACTGCAGCACTGGCAGTCACGGTAATTTCAGGTTTTTACTCCAGCCATCACAATGTTTTCTCTCTGCTTTCTTTATACAAAACTGAGTATAATAACAAGAGAAGAATGAACACAGGGTGCCAGTCCTATTGGTTGTTGGGTCACATTTACGAATTCTATGGAAATGATTTGGGATATGTAATGTTTAACAGCTTTTTTTCTTAAAAAAGACAATGTTTTGTTGTTTGTTTGACATAAATATACTGTCTTGATATATTATCAGGGGGTATTAAGGAGTTTTTTTATGATGGGAGGGCGTTGCTTTTAAAAAAATATGAAATATATACAATTCAGCCTCCCTCCTTTACATTGTATCCACCTATCAGACATCATAGAGCAAGTTGGAGAAATGCTGAATTTACAAGTATTTTGTGAACTGTCTAGCAAAGTTATTTTCAACGAATACCTTCCCATAATCGCTGTATATGTTACATAGTAAATAAGAGAATGTTAATATGGTCAGTTTGAGCATATAGTGACTGAACAGCAGACTTGATATAGTTGTTCCAGTGCTCTATTTGATAATCAACAGGTTAAAATTCATAAACCAAAACACCTTGATGAAGAAGCATAAATCAGCTTCAACCAGTTGGTGTTCTTCAGTACTAGTGGATCAACGTGTGGCCCAAAATCCAACATCTAAACGTTTGAAGTAACAATACCCGGAGGTGATCAACGGTACAGTGAACCGCTATGTCATTATTACTTGTCTGTTTCAGTGTGTCCCGCTACCGTCAAGAGGCGCTTACTCTGGCTAAAGGGAGTAACACCCTGAAGGCGACCCTTTCAGAGTTCGAGTTCACCGTTGAGTGTCAATCCAAAGAGTTGGCAGCCCTGCGTGCGGAGCAGAAAGGACTACATGAGGCGTTGGCACAGGCTTTGAGAGAGAAAGAAGAACTTCTGCAGCGATGGATGCAGGAGAAGAGCGAGGAGGCAGACAGGTTGAATAAACACAATGAAATACAGCAACGGTAAGATGATGTGAGCTCGTGACTTTTATAAAGCTCAAACACAACAATTTACTCACTTTGAATGAGAACATAACCACATTTTTGGAGATTTTAAGCTGTCGCTGATCACTGCTTTTCCCCAGATGGCAACGTTTGGCCCAACAGCTGAAGAAGCACTTCCATAGAGAGATGAGAAAGGAGTGTGTTCCCATAGTGACGAGCTCTTGGAGTGGTGAAACAGAAACGCCAACATCAGTCATTCAGAGTAAGAATCAGCATTCTCTTCAAAATATGAATGCATAATGTAGTAGGTGCAATCAAATGGCTGCCTCTCAATTTACAACCATTAGTTCACCTCAGTGCTGCACACACTGACCCTCTGAGGCACCTAGAGCCTTCATCAACAGCATCCTTATGACCGCCTTAATTAAGAGGGTGTAGTTGATGAGGTTAAGACAATGTACTGTGATCAACAAAGCGCTGATGAGTGCCCATTTAGCCTTCATGAAATAACTCAGTGGGGAATAATACCAGAAGTCAGTTCAAAGCCAGTCACCCAAGTGACTACTGGACCTGGACAAAGACTGTGAAAGCATGTTACTTCAGGACGCAGCCATGTTTATGCATTTGTGTGCTTCCTGTTAGACATGAAAAGACATAAAAACGTAAACGTGGTTGGTATTTTGCAGCGTGATTCCAGTATGTTTAGACTTGATATACTTAACTCCTTTCAGGCCAATAAAAAGGGGCGCTCAGACCACAACCATGTCTCAGCAGTGGCAAAAGTGTAATATTCCCACGGGATCCTGGAGGCGACAGTCCTCAGCACAAAGGTTACCTCTCCGTACACTTTCCATTTCGCTGTTCTCCATTTGCGTGTAGTTGAAAAACTATTTGTCCATATTTGAGGCCAGAAAGATTACAAGCGGCCCTTTAAAACGTATCTGTTGTCTTAATTAACCTAAAGATGTATTTAAAGATCCACCCCGTTTTCTAAATATATTGTTTAATTTAGACTTTCTTAAGAATGCCTAATTTCTACATTTGCTGCTTTTAACATAAATCCCCCTTTCCCTAATGTCAGTTACACTCCAGTTATCTTATCACATCTGGACTTTGTCCTGATTAACCGTCTGTCACTGAAGATAGTTTAAAATCCTTCCACTTTTGAGGCGATAAACCACTTCTGCTCATGTAGTTCACATCATTTCAATTGCAACAGCTGGTGTTGTACAGTCAGGGCTTTGTATTAGTGACTATGTGCCTCTTTCAACTCTTAACTACGTATATTTGTAAAGAAAATCATGTGAATCATTTTTATTTCTTAAATGAATTTGTACTTTAACATATTTTGAAAAATAACTTTGAATAACTAACAAAATGGAAAAAAAACTATTCCATTTGAATATGTTATTTTATATAAGTATGTATTGTTGTTTTTATAAATCCAGTGTTGTAAAAAATAAAGTCACTTATTTGCTCATTTTGTTTTTGTCATCCATCAGAGTGGTTGAAATCGTGGTTTCGTGGTTGAAATCAAATGTTGCTCTCCTTGTACATCTCAAACACGGTAAACAAAATTAGCAAAATAAACTCCTCAATAAAGGCTTTCTGTCTAATTTCTCCAGATTTATATTCAGAGACTTAAAAGACAGGAAATCCAATATTGTACATTTCATTTCTTAATTTGTTTAAATGTAATATTGAACAGTTATTATTTGATTTTCTTTTAGTGCCAGAATTCCAGCTCCACATCTCCATGGCAAAATGTGATCAAATTTCATGTTGTTTTGCATGCAGCGGCATGTTTCCATGGTCACCAGTGTGTTTGCAGTAGTTGGACAGTGCGTGTGTGTGTGTGTGTGTGTGTGTGTGCCTGTGCTGTAGTAGTGAAACTACTCTCAAACTCTATTAAAATGGTAAAAGGTGGAAAGCGATATTCTTCGATGAGCAATGATGGCAAATGGGTAAGAAATGATTCATTTCAACACATAATCAGATCATTACAAATCAAAACATTCGAACCTGGCTGTGTAATAAGCTTTTCTTTCATTTCTTTCTCAGTTTGCTCATCCAGTATTACCAGAAGATGAGACCAGGAGTCGGGAGCTTTGTACAAGCACTGGGACCATGCTGACTCAGGTTCAATCATCATTGCCTCAGGCTTTGAACATAGAGCGCTATCCTAAATGGAGAACTCAGCAGGTGTGTATGTACACTAGATAATAGTATTTGTCATGACCGTGTTTTTCACTGCTATGGCCCAGGGCTTTGAACGATTCCATTGCACTTCAGCAAAGAAAGAGCCTGCCTCCTCATTTTATCCCATTCCACGGCATTCAGTTGTATCGTACTAGACACTGTCTTCATAAACACTTTCACAGAAATCCAGAGAATATCCATTCTCCGACCATGACAACAAGCGTGCCTTCAAAGACGACATCTCGGTCTTCAGTCATGTGAGTATAAACACAAATTCAGTCCGTTATGAAATGTGTAATGCACCTTGAAAGGAAACCATATCTTTTGCATGTTGGTATACTTCAGGGTGTGGGGCTCAGGAAGTGTCTCGGTGAGCACAGTCAGCAAAACACCCTCTTCTGCTTGTGCGACGATGGAGCTTACAGCAGCCCCGAAGGGACTGGGAGGAACATTACGGTCCACCAGGCTGACTTTACGATGAAGCAGGCTGTTAATGTTCCAACCGGCAACAGGCGGTTCCCCCGCAACCACAAGCAGAAGTCTGCAGAGGCAGCTTTGTCGCAAGCAGGGGAGACATTCCTGTGGTTTGGACGACACGACTCCAACCACTCGGAGACCCTGCAAGCGCGAGCAGCTACCAACTGCTCCGCACCATCCCAGCCCTAAGATAGCAGTAGATGGCTCACTGAGTTGGCGCAGCATAGAAGGGGGTCAGGTGAACTTTGTGGAGGTCCAGCTGTCAAATAAATAATCTTTTTCAGAATCAGAATACATTTTTCTTCTTTGCCAAAACCGAGTGCCTACATTACCCATAGTGCAACTGGACCACAGATGGCTCAGTCAGATGTTTGGGTGTGTTACGCTAGTTGCAGCCTGGAGCTGCTAACCTCAAGCGGACTAAGCGCACTGTTATGAATAATAGCATGTGTCGTGAGTGCATATGAAAGTACGCTAACATGAATTATGTGAAGCAACTTTTTACAAGTTTCACCGTCATGGAACTTTTCTTAAGTGCGAAAAAGGGGAGCAATGAAATTGTTGCTATGGAAGTATCTAAAACCTAATCATAGGCGTTCATGATCCTCTGTGGCCATTGCAGAGCAGTAGAACGTCACAGTTTCACCAGCAGAGGGCAGCAGATCTGCACGAGTTATCGGTTGGCCTGTTAATCCACTGAGTTGTTCATTAACCAAGCTGTGTGAGAAATGTAATAACCAAAACCCCTGTGTAATGTGCATGCTCTGGAGAAAATGCGGGGGGGGAAATAATTAGAAAAATAAACCAGCTATTTTTATCCAATGCACATCAATATGAAGACATTAATTTAGAGCATGTTAAATAAATTAGGTTTGATTTGAGTCATAATTCATGGGTTTGTTTCACCCGTGAGGATGAAAGAGATGGATATGTGTGCGTGTGTGTCTCCTATAGGAGAGGAGAAAGCGTGGGAGAATAACGGAGAGCACGGCTCAAAGAAAGGCACTTAAGTGAAGAGCATCCCCAACCACTTTCTCCAGTAGCTGATGTTTTCTCCAGAGTACGTTCTGACCAGCTGCTTTCTGTCTTTAAGTAGCCATCAGGGAGATGGGTTTTTTCTCCCAAGCTTTGTTTCAGCTGTGCTAATTAGCTGATCCGCACACGGCACCAACCTTGTAGGAGTTTGTTTCACTTTTAAAAGGTGACATACAGCTCATGCTTCTTCTTTTTAAATGGCGAGAGACAAAAGATGTGAGACATCCATTTGGAGCCGCTGCCCCTTTGTTTTTCCACTTTGAGATAATCTCGCACGTTGCTGCCAAAAAACGGATTTCTTGATGCAGGTGCACGACTGACACGAGGTTGTTTTTAATGACGATACCTTTGATAAAACAGAAAAAAACAGGTGCACAGATAAAACAAAATTTAAAAAAAGGTTCCAGCACTATTTTAACACACACTTTGCCATGTCACTGAAACAGAAACCTACAGTAGCCTAAAGTAGATGTTAACATTTTTGATAGTCAGAGCGTACCTTATTAATTAATCTAAAAGAAGAGTGGTGTTGACGAGAGGGAAAGAAGTGTTTATTAATTAAGTTTGACAGTTTAGTTCTGTCCTCTCTTGACTGGTTGTCTGCCACCTCTGTTCCTGTGGGTGCAGTTTGCAGACTACACTTTGCTGCAACTCGAACGACTCCTCCGCAACAGGAGCCACCAACACTTGATAATCAGAAACTCTCATTAGCTCTGTCAGAACAGCAGTAAGGGTTTTTAATACTTTCACAGAGGGGATAGGAGAGCGTGCTGAGATTGCGTGTCAATCATTAGTCAGTATGTGGTTAGGTGTAATGTATGTGCCACGTTAGGATATCTGTCTATCTATCTATATATATATATATATAGATATCATGTAGATGTAAAACCGCGAGTATATGTAAATACAGCTGCTTGGTGGAATATCAAACCTTGTCCCAAGGACAAAAGACACATCTCAGTAAACAAGCATTCAACCACCAAAGCCTTGCACTTCATGAATACTAAATCAGACACTTTGAATCCTACCTCTTTGGTGTTAGGAGGCCCTAGTCTGGATTCTTACCATTCACTGTGATTTATTCGCAGGTGCATGTGTCTCTTTGATGTGTTGAGTTGAGAGGTTTTGCACCTGTTAGAGAAAAAAAAAATGCTTTGAAAACAAGAAGTGGATTTGCCAGACAGTCAAAATGACAGCAACAGAAGTGTGTGTGTGTGTGTGTGTGTGTGTGTGTGTGTGTGTGTGTGTGTGAGAGAGAGAGAGAGAGAGAGAGAGAGTTTTCTTTTCAAAAAAGGGCTGCTGTGCTGTTTTGACATACTCTGTTGTGCGCAACGCAAAATCACTTTTTGTCAAAAATCCTCCTTTTTTTTTTTTTATTTTTTTTTTTTTGTGTCTCGTTTCAGTTTTGGCTTCTGTTCTGACACTATGACGTTGTGTGTTTTGCATTCTGTCTATTACCTATTCATTAGAGAGGTGACTTGGAAAGAGAGTTGCCATGGAGATGTTTCGGTTAAATCTCAAAATCTCAAAGATTTTTTTTCCTGTTTATTCTTTTGCCAATTATAATTAATGTCTAGCTTCCCCGATTTCTTTAGATATTTCCTCTCTCTTCTTATATTCTTTTTAATAAGGTATCAAGGCTCACAGTGGGACTCTTCCTTCTGCTTAACATTTCATCTGGTTCAGCTTCCTGTGCAAATACTAACCGTAAAAGTCCAAAACAGCCAGAGAGTTGACTCCCTTAGCTGGGTTAAACTACCCAACTGTAAGACTCCTTCCAATCTCCTGTCAGTCATTCCACTTGCAGTACTTACAATTCTCTGGCAGTTCTTTTTTTTTTTTTTTTTTCACTCACCAGCCAGTTGGTGAGTGTCCCCTGGCAGCCTTGTGGTCCTTGTTGCAGTAATGGTCAGGGGCCCTCCAGAGTCTGAGGGTGGTGATAGAGGTGGCTGGCTATCTAATTTCCACAGGGGACAAGATAACATCGTGAGAACATTCCCATCACTCGAGGAGTTTGTTCAGTGGAGATAAGAGCTGCCCAGCTCAGCTCTGTGTGTGTGTGTGTGTGTGTGTGTGTGTGGTTTTGTGTCTTTGCACTGTGCATGTGTGTTTAAACGGAGTACTTTGAGCTTGTTAGCTGCAGTCCTGCTCCCCATGTTGCAGCTGTGAGGTCCGCAGACCTGACATCATGGCATCGAGCAGCGCTCCAGAAGCACTGCCTCAGAAGATCAGACCTCTCCTTGCACTACATCACACTCCATGTCTTTTTCAAACCTCCGACACAGTTTGCATGCTAATTTATGTGTAGGTGGTGAGATATAATTACATTAGGCTGGTTGTAAACAAGTACCCCACCCACAAGGGAACAAGAAAGTACTTTAAACAAGGATGGATGAATTTATCATGCACATATTATATGAAGAAATTAATCTGTGTCAGTTTGCAAGCGTAGCTGATGTAGCTGCGATTTAACAGCACAATTGTGCTAAATAAGAGTGAATAAGATTGATTTGGTTTCATCTAAGTCCTTGAATGTCAAATTAGATATTTGCTAAGTGCTTTTTCAAGCAGAACCAGCTTTTAGGATTCCTGATCGTGTGTTTTGTTGTATATTTAAAGTAAGAGGCAACAATGCAGAGGCAACCTTCAGGTGACACGATTGGACACTTGTTATCTTCTGCTCGGAAACACACTTCTTCGCTCAAACAGTGGCTCAGTTCGGCTTGACACGTTTGTATAGTATTACCAAGTATTTCATCACTACTTATGAAGCTCCACCTCTTAGTTTCATCAAGTCTGCTGTTCCTTCATAACCACAGCATTGGAAAAAAATCTAATTTGCAGATCAAGAACCCGACCACCGACCCACAGAATCTGATTCTCTACACTGTCTCTCATACTTGATGTGTAGACTGATGGGCATTTCAACAAATGAAGTTAGTCACATTTGGAGCAGATAAATTCTGTTCCTTCAGTTGATATCTTCTGTGCTCACAGTATAAAGACTGTTGTTGTTTTCGAGAACTTCCTGCTTTCAGATCCGTTATCTACAGTTCAGCCTTGGAAACAGCTTGAACATCTCACATAACCATTCACAGTATTCTATTTCCTGCTGTAGGAGGAAGCAAACGCATCCACAGACCTCACAACAAGTGTAATTAACTGTTTTCCCACTTATTCTCCAGTCAAAGGGGTAAATCTGCTTCATTTGCATTCTGTTGGAGGCATAAGCATAGGCCAATGACGGAATCCTTGTGTCTTTTCAAGGCTGCTATGAATGTGTCAGAGGACTTAATGTAGTGGAATATAATTAGATATAAGTGCGGCCAGAGTGGTTTTGTGTGGCTTTGTTTGAATCATATTATGCCATCTCAAAAGACGTTCCGCTGCTACACTGTATGTGCACTTAGTGGAGGAGGTGCTGAACATGCAGTACAATGGCACACTCTTATCAATCTGACATTATCAAATGTAAATTACACTCCAGTGAGCTTCTCATTACAGTACCCCATATGTAGTGGGTGTCATAAGTTCTTTAATTCTCAATTTAACATTACCTCCACTTTTTAGCAGCTGATAAGCACAAGACTCATAAGAGAGGTCACTCCAGAGAGGTAGCAGGGTTAAGCATAGTGACATATACAAGGTTACTTTGAATGGAACCAAATAATTTGATCGAATAAAAATGTATGAATGTTCGGACTGAATGAATAAATATATTCACAGTTTATTTTGAAATCGAAGACTAAAGCAAAAGACCTCAGCGTTGTAGTACGCATTCAGGACCTAGTAAGAGGAAATGCTATGCAATGAAGTGATTTACGCACAAGAGACTGATTCAAGGTTGCAATGAAATATTCCTTCAAATGAAGTAAAGAGTGGTGCAGCATAAGAATAACCCCGTCTTTAAAGATTAACATAACCCTTGGAGGTGTTATTGTATCCCAGTACCCAAGTCAAGACTTCAGCAGGTGCAGAACAGCTCTCCCTCTCTGTGAGTTACTGCATTAAGTCCCTCAAATTTAGCAGCACAATCATGAGCCTCCCGTTCACTCTCAGGAGTAGAAGAATCGCTTTGCATTTTAAAAAGGTCAAACACTCAGATCTCTGCCAGGAGGAATTGAGGGAAGAAATAATGTCTCTCTGCAGAAATATGCAGTCGCACACTACTGATCCTCTCAAATACCCGCTGTACAGTGAAGAGATTAGAGGTGTGTGTGTGTGTGTTGACTGTCATCCTCGAACAGCCAGTCTATAAACAAAGGCAAATCATAGTAGCAAACCCTAATGGTGTGCACATTTTAATAATTTCCAGGACTGAATTGATTTAGTACAACCAGATTCTTAAACTATAGGGACTGGAGTAATAATAAAAAGGGGGAACATAGTCATCTCATTTAATTGTTATTTGAAATGTGCAGAGAAAAAGCACAGGAAGGTGATTTACTCAGTGACCTATAATAAACATAACGAAGCATACGCTTATAATTAGCAAACACAGCCTTTTGCCAGATTAAAGCTGTAACAATGCAGCAGATTTTGACCTCTTTTAAATGACAACAAGATGGCAAGTTCAGGAAATCAGCATACAGTATATGTTGCATCACGCAGGCAATTTTAAATAATTGATTAATATACTGCATCATTGACTTGGGCATTCATCAGCAGACTTTAGTGAATAAGTGCCTTTGTGTTTGTTGTTTTATTTATTTGGGAGAAAGGGAGGCCTTCATCTAAATCTGATTTTGACTTACAACCTCACAGCAGTAACTTAGACTGTTTCCTCTGCCTCTTCCTCCTCCTGCCGTCCATCCCCTCTGCTGCCATTGAAAGCATATGCTTCAGTTGGTGTCCCCTGTTGGCTGGTGTTGGTCTTTGGATTGTTTGGGTTTATGCCCAGGAGTTACATTGTGCTGCAGACAAAATGACCACAGGGAAAGATGCACTCAGGACAAGGCCAAGAGCCCCCCAGGCCTGGGACCACACACGCAGTGCATATGGTAGAGGAGCTACAGAATAGAAGGTAGGCATTAATGATTCATCCATTGCTAACGGTGATTTTCTTTGTCTTTGTGGAAAGCTCCAATTAAAGACAACTATTTGCTGGAAGTGTTGGAAAGGGATGGAGGGATTAAAGTGACCAGAAAAATCCAAAGATGCTCTCGACCATCTGCGCCGTGTTATTTAAGGCCCGCGCTGCAGAGTGAATGAATTGACGGTCCACAGTTACTCTACTGCTCAGACTGAGA